TCGCCAGATTGTTCGCAGGGAAAATTGCTTTCATTGAATTCATTGTTATCTCAAGTAATTGCTTTTTGGTTACAAAAGATCCGGTCTTTTTTAGATCCGGTTACAACGAAATCAAAGAAAAAGAAAAAGATTACAACTTTCCTTTCGAACGAATCACGAGCTCCTGTTTTGCGGTCGCTCGCTTTGTGGGTTCTTCATTTGCGCCGGGGTTTATCCGTGGACCACCGCGCGATCTATATCCGGTCGGATCTACGCAGTACGACGGGTATTATTTCACGAAGGAAATAATAGTCGGGGGGATTGGTTCACCAAGGAAACAATCGCCCAAATCTCAGGATCAAAGACCAAGCTTTGATCCGGAGTACGCCTGCGTAGATCTGAGATCCGGTCCTCTCGAACTCTTGCTTTATTTGGCGTTGACGATCGCCGAGCATCAGATCTAGATGAGCAAGTCCTCAAAGTCCTAAAGCTTCAATCTTTTTTAGATCTGAGTCTTGAATCCAGCAGAGCTTCGCCTCCAAAAATTCCAACATTTGAACAAATGAACCACATCTCCTATTTATAGCCTCTCTTCACTGTGCCCGGGCACAGATCTGGCCGGCCACCTATGGGTGGCTCGGCCACCGAGCCACCTAAAGGTGGCTCGGTTTTGGTTGAGTCCCTTAGGTGTTGTGGTTTTGTGCCATTTTGTCCGGTCTCGTGGTTGATTCAGACTCTGATTTGTTGATTTGATTTGGCAGTAGATCCGATTCCTGATTTGGCAGTAAATCCACTTCTGAGTTCGAGTCCGAAACTGATCTTGATTCGATCGTGATTCGTCCGAGTCTGCCCTTGGTTGGATGACTCGTTGACTCTTCGAACCCTTGGCTTGATTCCGCACGCGAGTGGATGTATTCCGTTGCTTGCGTGCGATTCGTTAACCTCGTCGCCTCGTTAATCCGCTTCGTTGCGTGTCACTTGGCTTCAGCGTTGTGGACTGACGCTCGTGTTTGGATATGTCGTCCGATGGTTCGTCGGTTTGTGCCGAGCTGTGCTAAGGGACCTATAAGCAATTTTATACGCCTACAGTCTGTAATCATGCTTGAATCAAAGGTTCATGTCTTCTTTATTTCCCAACTTTGTGCGTGTAAATTGGATTTTAAACACCTTACCGTTCATCTTTGCCATGAAAACGTATGGAATTTGGATTTTGTTGATCACACTCGTTGGTTTGGTACGTCAATCACAACCCATTTAGCAGACAAGTCTAAATGAAAAACCAAGTAGCTGTACTTAGTGTTAGGACTCATGTTTATGAGCCTACTTTCTAATCTAGTTTTGATAATTAACAAACAATTTATAATTGTGTTTTCCAGTATTTTTGTTTGCTCAATTATATCTGGGTTGAAAGGATTTGTGCCGTAGTGACGATATTTCGAATGAAGCCGACGCAATTCAAGTCCAAGATTCAAGATCAAGCTTCATGCTTAAGAGCTCAATTCTTATACACGTTATTTCTCGTTTTATCGTAATATAAGTGTTTTTTTTAGAAAATATCGAGTCTTTGGATTATTGACTTAACTATAATGTTTTATATCTTTTACAAAGTCCATTAATTCATTCAAAAGAATTTCCAAACGTGTTTGAAATCGTTCTGTCAAAATCAAGTGTTTAAACGAACTCGTATTCTTGAGATTTTCACTAACGGGAAATGATATTTCAAAAATTCTTCTTTAACATGTTTATATTCATGTATATAAATATTTTCCCAAGTTTCATATTTTTGGAATTTATTTGTTATTTTTAAACACACTTTGAAAATCAAGTTTACTGTGCATATATTGACTGTGCATGTTTTTCAGTCGACTGATAAATTGCTCTGCAATCATCAGTTTTGTTTCTGCTCAGTCGACTGATCTTTATCAGTCGACCGAAGTAGCCTATCAGTCGATCGATGATGATCATCAGTCTGGAGCTGCCAACAGTCATCTCATTAGTCGATCGATACTCACTATCAGTCGACCGATAACCTTGAAACAACTATATTATGTTCTTTCTCTTTGAGAGGCTATAAGTACCTCTCACCTCTCAATTGTTTTTAAAACCAGGTTTTAACTAAGTTTTCAAGAGTTTGTTTTCTCAGTTTTAAAGAGGTTTTCAAGTTTGTTTATGTGAAGATAGTTTCACAAGAGAAAGAATTCAATTTCAAGTTGAGGTTTTCATCCTCAACATCTTCATCTCTTGTTTGGAGAAGTTTTCTAAACTCTTCATCTAACTTTTTATTATTTTATTTCTCATATATTTATGCTAGATTGATTTGAGTTTAATTTATTTTTTTTATTGTTTCACACAACCATTGAGCTTAAGTATTTCACATATAGTATTATTGGGTTGTGGGTGTGATCATTGAGTGAGCTTTCATTTTCGTTCTCATTTGTATCAGAGAACAAAACCATTTATTTGAGCTTATAGTTGAGAACACGTTGTAATACATAAGGACATTTAGAAGAGTGATTGAGAGAAGAGCGAGGTCAATTCCAAGAGAAGTGACTTGGTTGTAAAAACCTAGGGAGAGGTAGTAATTTCAAGCTCTTGAAGAAGGTGACACGGGTGGGCTAACACTTAGAGAAGTGTATTGTGTGATTGTCAACGTGTGAGTTGTAAAAGTTTTCGGTGAAATTTAAAAACCGAATTGTGTAGCTTTTTGTGTTGATAGTGGAGAATCTCCTTGAGGGTGAGGAGTGGAGACATAGGTCGAGGGTTGACCGAATTTCGTGATCATATTGCTTGTTTGTGTTTAGCATTGATGCACTTTTCTTGTGTATATTTTCATATCGTTTTTTGTCTTATAGTTTATATCAGCTATTGTTTATTATATATCCTTGTGTACTATGTAGCACGGACACGGATCCGACACGGCCATTCGACACACCGACACGAGGCAAATCCTAAAAAATACATAGGATACGTGTGTTCGACACGTGTGTCGGACACGGACACGACACGACTTCATGTTATGCGTGTCCGTGCTTCATAGCTTGCATATATCACTTGTGTATATCATATTGCTAGGATATTATTAATAAGTTTTAATTTGGCATCTAAATCGGATTAGATTAGCAAATACCCTATTCACCCTTCTCTAGAGTACTTTCACTTAGTGATTAGAATTTAGTTGAAATGAATTTTGGCCTCTATGAAATTATTTGCCAGTGGGCGAAAACGAATAAAAATAGCCAAAAAATCATGTGTTATAGCTCATGAAATCATAAGCATTGACCTCCATAAATTTATTTGCTAGTGGGTTGAAAAAATAAAAAAAAAGTCAAAAATAAAAAAATGGCCAAACTGAGTTATACCTTATGAAATCGTGAATATTAGCATTCACGAACTTTTTTGCTAACGAGTCAATGACTAAAAATGATAAAAAATATTGAGTTCTAGCTCATGAAATCATGAATATTTGCCTCCTTGAAATTATTTGTCAGTGGGCCGAAACAACTGAAAGTGGCCAAAAATTATGGGTTATACCTTATGAAATTGTGAACTTTAGTATTCACTAAATTAATTGCCAATTGGTCAAAATGATTAAAAATGGTTGAAAATTATGAATTATAGTTGATGAAATCATGAAGTTTGGTTTCCATGAAATTATTTGCCAGTATATCAAAATGACTAAAATTAGCCAAAAATTGTGTTATAGCTTTTTAAATTATAAATATTGGCTTCCGTGAAAGTATTTGCAAGTGGGTTGATAACTACTTTACCTTCTGCATATTATGCTTTGGCAGTGGGAAATTTTCATGAAGTACAACCATTCATGCCAAGGTTTTAAGTTCCCTGCACCTACATGTTAAGTAAAAGCTATTAAAATTAATTTTCTATTTATTTGCTCTATCACCTTATATTTGCAATATGTCTGTAGTGACTAATGGAACGATGTAGAAATCTAGATCGGATTTCGGAGATGGACATTGCTGCACAGGTTGGAGAGTGATGTGCCCAAATCGAATGATTGCTAAACTAAGGTAAAGTCGTGGGCATATGCTTATACGGCTTGTATAAGGTACACGTTTTTCAATTTTCTTAGCCCGTTTCATTATAGTTATAATATTCTTCTACAGCTTCATACTTTCTTCAACTCCATTTTCATATTCTTGTTAATTGTTTTGAGACCTCCTCAAGGTTTGATTAGGAACTAGTTTACGCCCATCATTATTTTCTGATTATACATCCCCTGTCAAATATGATACTATGATAGTATATTTGTATATGGTACTGCTTAATCAGTGCAGCTAGGTAATGGGAGGGAGGGGTGCTGATCATTTAAAGTAGGTAGCTGCGAGTCTTTTGAGTTATAATATGTGGTTGATCTGGTTAGGCTGCATTTTTTTTCTTCAACTGGTCCATGGCTGTCGAACCGAATGCGATTTAGTTTTAATTGTTCAAGTTGGCTGCTACTGTTGCAATAATAATTTCTGTTTTCACAAGCTTAATTTGTGTTCTTGCTATGTTAAGTTCATGTCCGAAAGGGCTTGAAATTGCAGTTGCGATGATGACACAAGGAGGAAAGGTTGTAGTTTTGTTAGTGGAAGCTACCTGGCAGTACAATTAATGCGGTTACCAAGACGGGTAATGTACATAACTAACTAAATTAAATGGCCATGTGCTGAACATGTTTTGTTAAGTTTTAAATATCAGCTAATTGAATTTCCAAGACGGTCAAATTTGACAGACACGATTCTATTTTGCATATTCTAGTTCTTTTTTTGACAGTAAATTTGTATTTGATGAGTAATTGATTCTGGGCGGCTAGGTAGAAGGAATGAGTGATAAATATGATGAGTAATTGACTTTGAGCATTTGAAGTAGGTAGTTTATAGTCTTTTGAGTTATATAACATATGGCAGATTTGGTTATGCTGCATTTGTCGTGACTTGACTTCTGTGACTGATCAATCGTTGTTGAACTGAATACAATTCAGTTTAATTGCTCAAATTGGCTGCAGCTGTTGCTTTTTTTTGACATGCTTTTTATTCTTGATATGCTTACTTTAGGTACAAGAAGGGCCTGAAATCACTAATGGGACATCGACACTATCAGAAAAGGCTGTAATGTTTATGTACCTGACAGGATTTCCTTTGATGCTAATGGTAGAAAGCAGGGAAGAGGTTGAATTAGTTGCCTATAGGTTGAAACCATAAAAATGGTCAAAATTTATGGGTTATAGCTCATGAAATTGCAGGTTCTAACTTATGAAATCGTGAATTTTTGCTTTTGAGAAATTATTTGCTTACAGATCAAAACCACTACAATTAGCAAGAAATCAATGATTATAGCTTATGAAATTATGAATTTTTTTCCTTAAGGAAATTATTTGCTTATAGGTTGAAGGCACTAAAAATGGTCAAACTTTATGGGTTATATAGCTCATTGAATTCTGAATATTAGTCTTCGTGAAATTATTTAGAAACGGATCGTAACCACTTAATGCTCGGAAATCATGGTTTATAGCTTATGGTATCACGAGTTTTTGCTTTTGGGGAATTATTTGCCTATAGATTGAAATCACTAAAAATGGCCAACAATTGTGAGTTATAGCTCATGTAATCGTGAATTTTTACCTCTTGAAAATTATTTGCCTACATGTGAAAATCATTAAAAATAGCTGAAAAATTATGTATTATAGCTCATGAAATTGTAAGTTATGGCTCTTGAAACCCTCGGAAATAGCCAAAAATTATGGGTTATAGCTCATGAAATAGTGGATTTTGGTTTTCGAAAAATTATTTTCAATGAGTCAAAATCACTACAATGGACAAAAATTGTTGGTTATAGCACATGAAATTACGAATTTCGCCTTCCGGGAAATTAGTTACCTATAGGTTGAAATGATAAAAATGGTCAAAATTTATGGGTTATAGCTCGTGAAATCGTGTGTTACATCTTATGAAATCATGAATTTTAGCATTTGAGAAATTATTTGCTTACAGATCAATACCACTAAAATTAGCAAAAACTTATCGGTTACAGTTCATGAAATCATGAATTTTGACCTTTAAAAGATTATTGGCCAATATATTTGAGAAATTATTTGCTTACAGATCAATACCACTAAAATTAACAAAAACTTATCGGCTATTGTTCATGAAATCATGAATTTTGACCTTTAAAAGATTATTGGCCAATATTAGAAATGACAAAAAATAGTGGTTATCGTAAATTTTCGCTTCAAGGAAATTAATTACTAACTGGTCGAAACCACTAAAAATAATAAAAAATTATGAGTTAGAACTTATGAAATTGTGAATTTTTTCCTTCAAGAAATTATTTGCATATAGGTTGAAACCACGTAAAATGGTAAAAAATTATGGGTTATAACTAACTAAAATGTGAATTTTGGTCTTAGTGAAATTATTTCTTAACTACTCATAACCGCTTAATGGCCAAAAATCATGGCTTATAGCTTATGTTGTTGTGATTTTTTGATTTTAGGAAATTGTTTGCCAACAGATCGAGACCACTAAAAATAGCCAAAAATCGTGGGTTATATAACTCATGAAATCGTTAATATTTGCCTCCTGAAAAATATTTGCAAACATGTGAAAACCATTAAAATAGCCAAAAAATCATGGATTATACTCATGAAATTATGAATTATAGCACATGAAATTATTTGCCATTTGGTGGAAACCACTAAAAATAGCTAAAAAACATATGTTATTGTTCATGAAATAATGAATTTTGGTTTTCGAGAGATTATTTGCCAACGGCTCAAAACCACAAAAATGGCCAAAAATTGTGGGTCATAGCTTATGAAATTCTGAATTTTGGCCTTCCAAGAAATTTGTTGCTTATTGGTTAAAGTTATGGAAAATGGTTAAAATTTGTGGGTTATAGCTCATGAAATCATGGGTTATAGCTCATGAAATCGTGAATTTTACCTTTTGAGAAATTATTTACTTACAGATCAAACCACTAAAATTGTCAAAAAATCATTACCTGTAACTTATGAAATCATTAATTTTAACCTTCAAAACATAATGCCAGAAATGGTCAAAAATGTGGTTATTAACTCATGAAAATTTGAATTTTGGCTTCAAGTAAAATAATTGCCAATGAGTCAAAACCACTAAAAATGATAAAAGGTTACAGCTCATGAAATCGTGAATTTTTTCCTCCACGAAATTATTTGCTTATAGGTTGAAATCATTAAAAATGGTTAAAAATTATGGGTTATAGCTCATTAAGTTTTGAATTTTGGTTTCTGTTAAATTATTTGTAAACAAGTCGTAAGCACTTAATGGCCTTATAGGTTATGATGTCGTGAGTTTTCACTTTCGAAAAAATGTTTGCCTATAGACAAAACCATTACAAATGGGCAAAAATCAAGGATTATAGATCATGCAATCGTAAATTTTTTACCTCCCCCTACATTTCGATAGCATTAAAAAAACAGCCAATTAATCTTGGATATAGCTCGTGAAATTGTAAATTAAAGCAGAAGTAATTATTTGCCAATGAGTTGGAACATCTAAAAATAGATAAAAACATTTCATAAAATTGTAAATTTTGGCTTCCGATAGAATATTTGTCAATGGGTCAAAACAACTAAAATGACAAAAAATCGTGGGTTATAGCTCATGAAATTATAAAGTTTGGCTTTTCAGGAAAAATCGTGAATTGTAGCTCATGAAATTGTGAATTATAGCTCATGGAGTTATTTGCCAACGGGTTGAAACCCTTAAAAATAGCCAAAAATCGTGGGTTATAGCTCGTGAAATCGTGAATTTTGGCTTCTGAGAGATTATTTGCCAACAAGTCAAAACCTCAAAAATGAGCAAAAACCGTGGGTTTTAGCTCATGAATTTGTGTCTTTGGTTTTTCAGGAAATTAGTTGCCAACAGCTTGAAATCATAAAAATGGCCAAAATTCATGGATTATATCTCATGAAATCAATTTGACCTTCAAAAAATTATATGCAAACGCTAGAAATGACCAAAAATAGTGGTTATAACTCATGAACTTGTGAATTGTGGCTTGAAGGAAATTAATTGCTATCGGATCGAAACTACTAAAAATAGTCAAAAATCGTGAGTTCTAGCTCATGAAATCGTGAATTTTTTCCTTTGGGAAATTATTTGCTTATATGGTGAAACCATTAAAAATGGTCAAAAATTATGGGTTATAGTTCATTGAGTTGTGAATTTTAGTTTCCGTGAAATTATTTAGAAACAGGTCGTAACCACTTAATGACCAGAAATCAAGGCTTATTGCTTATGATGTCATGAGTTTTAGATTTTGGGAAGTTGTTTGCCTATAGATTGAAACCACTAAAAATGATCAAAAATCGTGGGTTATAGCTCATGAAATTGTGAATTATTGCCCCTCGAAAATTATTTACCTACATGTGGAAACCATTAATAATAGTAAAAAATTATGGATTATAGCTCGTGAAATTATTAACTATAGCTCATGAAATTATTTGCTATTGGGTTGAAACTACTAAAAATAGCTAAAAATCATTGGTTATAGCTCACGAAATTATGAATTTTAGCTTCCGAGAGATAATTTGCTAACGTGTCAAAATGACTAAAAGTTGTGGGCTCATGAAATTGTGAATTATAGCTCAAGTAATTAGTTGCCAACAGGTTCAAACCCCTAAAAAATAGCAAAAAATCGAGGGTTATAGCTTATGAAATCGTGAATTTCAGCTTCAAGTAGAATATTTGCCAACTGGTCAAAATCACTAAAATGATAAAAAATCGTGGGTTAAAACACATGAATGTGAATTTTGGCCTTCCAAGAAATTAGTTTCCAACGGGTTAAAACTACTAAAAAAAGCTAAAAACATTATAGTTTGTTAAATTGTGAATTTTAGTTTTCGGAAATTATTTGAAAACATGTCCTAATCACTTAATGGTGAGAAATCGTGGCTTATAGCTTATGCTAACGTGAGCTTTTCCTTTCGGGAAATTGTTTACCTACAAATCAAAACAACTTAAAATGGTCAAAAATCGTGGGTTATAACTCATGCATTCGTGAATTTTTGCCTCTCGAAAATTATTTACGTAGATGTGGAAACTATTAAAAATATCTAAAAATCGTTGATTGTAGCTCATGAAATTATGAATTATAACTCATGAATGTATTTGCTAACGGGTTGAAGCCATTAAAATTAGCCAAAAATTATAGATTATAGTTCATGAAATCGTGAATTTTAGCTTCCGAGAGATTATTTGCCAATAGATCGAAACTACAAAAATAACCAAAAATCGTGGGCAATTGGTCATGAAATTGTGAATTTTGACCTTCCGGGAAATTAGTTGCATATAGGTTGAAACTATAAAAATTGTCAAAATTTATGGTTTATTGCTCATGAAATCATGGGTTGCAATTTATGAAACCGTGAGTCTTAGCTTTCGAGAAATTATTTGCTTATTAATCAAAACCTCTAAATTGGGAAGAAATCGTTGGTTATCATCTTAGCTTTCGAGAAATTATTTGCTTATTAATCAAAACCTCTAAATTGGGAAGAAATCGTTGGTTATCGCTCATGAAATTGACAAAACCTCTAAATTGGGAAGAAATCGTTGGTTATCGCTCATGAAATTGAGAATTTTTTCCTTTAGAAAACTATTTGTCAACACAAGAAATAGCCAAAAACAGTGGTTATAAATCATGAAATCGTGAATTTTGGCTTCAAAGAAATTAATTGCCAATGGGTCGAAGCTACTAAAAATAGTAAATAATCGTGAGTTATAGCTCATGAAATTGTGAAATTTTTCTGCCAGGAAATTATTTGGTTATACGTTGAAATCACTAAAAATAGTCAAAAATTATGGGTTATAGCCCATTAAAT